TTGATAATATTTTATTATTATTAAGATTGTTTTGCCCAACGTTGCACGAACGCATACTTTGGTGTGAATGTCAGAAATCCTAAGAATTGACTACCCAGGTGAGATCGGCCTAAACATGCCACTAGCGGACCCAAACATGCCACTAGCGGACCCCAAATGAATTAAAGATAAAATAATAAGATTGCCTCGAGCGTAAACCCCTCAGTTCATCTCAATCCCAAACCCGCATATCCAACATCAATTTAATGAATTTGACCCAAACCCATTTTTGATCAACCCCCCACGATTCAAACAATTCACTGTTTACCATTTCATTCAAATTCATTCATGTCTTCATTTTCATTGAACATATCTTGTAAGACAAAATAAATAAAAACAAATGAAACAATATAACAATAAAGCTAACCCAGATTAAACAAATTATAAACATATTCAAACTTGTTGAAACAAAGAGGTATATCTATCGATTAAATAAAGAGATGAAAAGAAATGGACCTCAATAATTAACTCCTTAGTATTGACGAGAACTTGGTTACGGCAAAACTCCGGCGAGTCGAATCTGACCAAGAAATGAAACGGCAGGAGCTCGGATCGCGAATCACAGAATTAACCTCGAACGATACCAACAACCAAAAACTAGTGAAGATTAATTTGTTTTGGTGAACACAAGTGTTTGTGGTATTGTCTATTAGTGGAAAGGTGGTGTTGATTGAGATTTTTAGGCAAAGAATGTGGTGTTTCACGGTGATGCAGGTGGCGGGTTCATAGAGTTTTCACATAGCTTGTTCTTCCAAATCTCTCTATTATTCTCTGCCCATCCTCTCTCTATGTGTGTATGCGAGAGCTGATCGATTAAGGAAATTGGGTCGTTTTTCTTTCGAAGGAAGCAGCGGCGTTCAAGGTCCAAATTCAAAGGGGNGCCGAATTTGGGCCAAGTCAAGTTTAAAATAATAGTCTTCTCACATAAAAACAAGACAAAATTAGTCCAAAACTTTCTTCTTATCTTTTTTTTTTTTTGGAAAAATATAATATCAATACTATTTTTTGTATTTTTTAATTTTATGAAAGGTAATGTGTAAAACCTCAGAGAGGGTCAAAAATTACATGTCTGTACTGATAGGACCATTATCTCATTCTGAACCAAATAATGGTATGTGCGCTTTGATAAATTTCATATAATCCGATCGCACTGGTCCTATATCTAATAATATCGTCTCACCCAGTATGAGATGCTCGGGCAACAAGTCATCCCATACATGACCAAAAAGTCTCACATGATGCCACAATATGTCAATAGGCTACAAACTTGAACGTGATACATAAGAAAAACGAACTCTAGAAAGGTCTACTCAACCCACATAACTAATTAGGCAATCGAAAAGGTGTCATGAACCTACCTCACAAAGATGGAAAACAAAACACACAAAATAGAATATAGGGAATGGTACTCAACATCACACTGTTGTGGCATGCAACCCAATCCACACACAAAATCTATAAGGAAATACTTACCGAGCTAATGTTCTCATGACCACTAAATATCTGAATATCGGACACAAGCACGCCAAGTGAATAATACCATCCCTGGGGAGACAGATAGAGCCATACGCTTCAAAACGCAAGCACAACTAAGATGCGATATATGATCTAAATCACAAGAGCCATCCTGCTCACATAACACCATCGCTACGCGGAACCTCAACACATAAGAATATTTTCAAGCCGTTTCACAACTCACACGACACTATATAGTATTACATGAAATAGCCGACGATGAAATAACATCCAACGTCTGAATACTCCTCCATAAGGAGTGCTATGCTGAAATAAACTGAGTGCCCTCCAGGCATAAATTCTCAAATTAGTGATATTACCACAATTTTCACACTTGGTTTAAATCTTCAACCAATCAAGTGACTACATGTCACACTTACAGAATCTTCTCGTGAGGTACGCTCCCACAACCTTACGCACTAGATTACAAGTCTGCACATCCATACCACTGGTCACACTAATATTGTAAGTATATCAAGAATCCGTAACCAAGATGCAAAGCCTCCGACACAAAATACCGATCTCAGGTGGCGCTGGAGACAATACCACCCTACTCCAAACATCCAAATCCCCTTCCTGCTCATGCGAGCTCATGACATCATTGTCAAACATGAACCGCAACCTTGATCCTAACTTTAAAATTTCATACCGCTCACTGCACCTAACAAGCCAATATGCGATAGTACAAGAACTTCATCATAACTCGTGAACCACTAATATGGTAAACACTTCATCACATAGAAGCTTTTTACTTAACTCATTCCAAGAGAACCATAGCAACACACGAGTAAATTCTCATAATCATAGAACATTCAAATCCTCAAGTAATGGTCTAAACCACCATAACCCTTCTGGGATCCGCCTACACATAACAGGCCATAATACTTGAACACTCCCAATTAATATCAATTACGGCAGCCGTCGAGCCTCACACGTACCGCTATCACTATGCCACTTCAACCATGGCTAACCAATCTAACTTCTTCTAATTCATCCTTAACTTGCCTTAGAATAATAATAGCTCCATTCCTTACATCACCAATCTAAATCCACACTCACCTTGAGCGACCCCATTCCACGAGACCATATTGTCTCCAAACCCATGAACCGTTCATGCCCTCTTTGCACACATATTTGCATCCTCAACTGATACACCCATTATGATAATTCCTCTATGAATCCGAAGTCATTTTCTCTTATTCCTCCAAATGCTACACTGCAAGCCGAAAATATCGTAGAACATTCCGAGCCTTTTATTATAATCCACTGCAAAAGCTTGATTCTTAATCATACTGCGGGCTTGAATCCTTAGGCACTGCATTTGTAACCTTTGAATTCACTAGGACCGTTGTTGAGAGTCACCAACTCTGGCTTGGTCCCGAATATAACCAACTCCAAGGCTCTGCTGGCACATGAACACCGATCTCAATGAAGCACCCGACTGAATCACTTCCATTGTAAATCACCTCTGTACGAAGCATAACTCATGAATCTTCCCAAACCAGAACATGAGTCAATAAGGCCAACTATAATGCACATTTATCAATTCATTTGCTCAAATTACCACGTATGTTCTTTTCCCTTAGCTATGATAAATCACCAATAAGCCGATAACCCAAACCTCACAAGTAGATAACTATGCAACCCAATCGTAGGCGGTGGGACTCTCCCACTTAGCTTGAAGCTACTATTACACAACTCTGGAACCCACCAAGATTCTTTCTTCATTATTGACATGATCTTACACAACCAACCCACCAAATTCCTCGAAATCATTCTGTTAGCATTTCACGAACACTCTGAATCTCTAACAACATTCACATATTCGACCTATTACCGGATAGTCAGTAAAATCCTTCGCAGAAGCTTCGCCAACCATGCGACCTCTGAAATGTTCACAGTAGATAACCCACCTGTGGAAATTACATGCCGATATCTTCCAATATCGCTGTACAGGGTACAATCACTACGACATCAATAACTCCTCCTGAGCCCGTTCTCATTCACCAATTGTACCAGACCTTTCACTTCCTTATGGATATCAACTAAATGTGCGACAATATCTTCTAAACCAAAGTTATATTGCATCCCTCTTCATATCAAACAACTCTTTTCTGTTGCATCCAAGCTCCTGACGTATAATAGCCAACATTTTAAATTAAGCCCATGGACCCAACCACCGTCCACTAAAATTCCCAAATCACTCTAAACTTTTCCTCAAGGTGTGAAGTTACCCTGCCACTGAACCCATATGTTATTCTGCCACTCTCCCACTTTGGTCAAACTTACTCCTTTAAGCAACCATTCAACTTCCACTCCTTGCATCTGGCCTTCTAGAAATTGAATCACCGCATGACACTTCCCACATGTCCTTCCTTATCCTTTGTTGCTCAGTTGTTGCCTTTAATAAAAATCTATCTCCGTAGAACATGAACCCACAGATCGGTACTAACTTTAAACCTTTCCGAAGATCATTTTTCTCGAGCCATCAACACTAGAAACATCGGTTCATTCCTGAACCACCCCGCTATCTCTAACAGCCGCCCCTCCAATACTATCGCACAATATCTTGCCCTAAGGCGAATTGTAGAAGATCATAACACTGGAAAACTTAACATATTCAATCGAGGATGATGACTCCACGTCGCAGATAAAAATTCCACCACACTTGAAAACACCAAGTCTCATTACTCTATCAACCCAAACCTGAACATTTATAGTCCGATTTCCTTTTCTCCGTCGGAAATAAATTACTGAATCTCTGGATCGTGCTCTGAATATACCTCCTTTCAAGTCATTCATTGCCCCAACACAGGGGCAAACATCCTACCATCATATCAACATTGTGCGATAACCAATCATGATCTTCATAGCAACCTGTGCATAGCCTCAAAGCTCTTAGAAGTACAACTACTAAGCTGAAACGACAGAATATCCTTCCGCAAGGCGACGACAATAGCCCAATCAACTACGCAGGGAGAAACATCCCGCACCACCTCTGTAGTACCATTAAAATTCCTCGATTCCCAATTTAGAATCATCGCTTCACATCGCATAAGATTGAATGGGAAGGAAATGAAGGCATAAGCCTCAAAGAAATCAAACTGCATGATAAGGAATCAAGAAGGGAAGTGATCCTAACAGCCATATAGCCTCTCGAAGATAAGTATAGACGTCTATGTACCAATCCACAAGACTCGCTCACGACTCGTGAGACCTAAGGAAACCTAGTGCTCTGATACCATGTTGTCACGACCCAAAATTTATTAAGGGTCATGATGACGCCGGACACCACTGTCAGGCAAGCCAACACCAAGAAGTTAATTAATTCCTCATTTTAATATTTTTGAAATCATTTCTTTTCCTTACATTAAACAATAAATAATGAACTTAACCGAGAAAATAATGTTGTCTTTAACAAATTTAAATACTGAATAATCCCATAGTCATCCCAAAACCCGGTGTCATAAGTGCATGAGCAATTTCTAGGAAATAAAATGTATTACAATAACTGTCAGGAATACAAATTGGACAGAAAAGGAAGTACAATACTTTGAAGGAGACCCTGCTAGTTGCGGGTCATCTCGAGAGATAAAACTCACCTAAGTATCTGTATCAACCATGCCGTTGCGCCCAATGACGCCGCTAGACATACATGTGCCTGTGCAACAAAAATGCACATCAAGTGTAGTATGAATCCGAAAACAACGCATACCCAGTAAATGTCCAGTTTAACCTCGAAGAAGTAGTAACGAGAGGTCGACTTCAACACTTACTAGTGGTCCAATAATATAATCAGTCGTGGATTTATTAAAAACAGCAGTAAACTCAAGGGAATCATGTAGCAAGTAAACAATCATTTTGATAATAAGAGATTTCCAAATTCATATTTCCTCAATTATCAATTTATCTCAGGCCGTGATGGCAATATCATTATTTATAATTTCAAGGCAAGCAATACAAGCATGCACAAATCATGCCGAGGTATACGACCCGATCTAACATAATATTTAAACTATGTACTGCCAAAAGGTTGAATGGGTCAAACCATAGATGAATCTATTATCCCGCTTGCAAATCATACATGCGACGCGGTCAAATATAAATAAATACATCAAACAGTCAATCAATAATTCATTAGGGAAACAATTACCCAAAGAAATGGCAACTTCACTTTAACGGTCAAGCAAATGATGTTTAAGTTCTTTAGAAATTCATTTACCAATTCGATATGATTTAAGAAATTTAAATTGTTAATAAGGTTACAAATATTTTAAGTATAACATGCTTTCAGGTCCTAGACTACCCGGACTTAAGCATATAGTAGCGACGCACGGACTCTCGTCACCTCGTGCATACGTAGACCCCACAAATAGAAGCACATATTTAATTATTTCACCTATGTGATAGTTCCCTCTTACAAGATTAGAAAGGAGACTTACCTCACTCCGAAATTTCCATAACCGGCTTCCAAGCCTTTCCGATGACTCAAACTGATGCCCAACACTCCAAAACTAGCAAAATAATGGACAAACCAATGAAATTATACCCTAATACTTATAACAATTCAATTTATATAAATTCCCAACTCCGCTCAAAAAGACAAAATTGCCCTCAAGCCCACTTGCTCGGATTCCGAAAATTTTCGAAGATAAAGTTTACCCATAACCTCACGAGCTCAAATATATAATTGACTCTCAATTTCATGCCCCAAATTCGTGGTAAAAATCCAAAATATTAATTTCTAGGCCTTCTACCAAAAATTCACAAATTCTACTAATTTCCATTCCCAAATCCATATATAATCCAAGTATTTAACTCAAAACTAGTAGAAACCACTTACCTCATGCTTGGTGATGAAAATGATGCTCCAAAATCGCTCCCATGGAAGAAATGGGATTGAAATGAGCCCAACCCCCGTCTTTTAAAAGACACTGCCCAAACGCCCATTCTTCGCGATCGCGAAGGCTAAAAAGGAAGCCTTCAAAATTTTCCTCTACGCGTTCGCGAACCTTTGACCACTACCCCCTTCGCATTCGTGTTCCAGCAGTCGCGTTCGCGAAGGCCAACCGCTCCAAGCCCCGCTTACTCTTCCTCTTACGCATTCGCGACCCCTATATCGTGTTCATGAAGGCTAGATTCCATCAGCCTCCAAATTCCTCTTCACGAACGCGGGACTCTCTTCGCGTTCGCGTAGTAGGACACCAGATAGCAGCAACAACAACAACAATTCCTCCCAATTTGGTCCAAAACCACCCCGAAACACACCCGGGGTCCCCCGGGACCCTGTCCAATCACACCAACCAGTCCCATAGCATAACGAGGACCTGCTCGAGGCCTCAAATTGCATCAAACAACACCGAAATCCCGTATCACACCCCAATTCAAGCTTTATGAACTTTAGTACTTCAACTTCAACATTCGTTGCCGAAAGCTATCAAATCTCGTCCGATTGATCTCAAATTTTGCACACAAGTCATATTCGACATTACGGACCTACTCCAACTTCCAGAATCAGAATCCGACCCCGATATCAATAAATTCACTTCCGGTTAAACTTCTCAAAAACCTACAAATTTCTAACTTTAGTCAAATGACTCCAAAATGTCCTACGGACCTCCGAATCCACTTCCGGACGCGCCCCCAATACCAGAATCACTATACAGAGCTATTCCCGGGCTTGAAATCCCAAATAGACACTGATAACACTGAAATGCACTTCAACCCAAATTTATGAAATTCTTCCAAAAATGCTAACTTTCGCTATAGGCGTCGGATCACTCCCGGGTCATCCAAAATCCGATCCGTACATATGCCGAAGTCCAAAATCATCATACGAACCTGTTGGAACCTTCAAACCCCGAGGTCGTTTACTCAAAAATCAAACCTTAGTCAATTCTTTCAACTTAAAGCTTCTGAAATGAGAATTTTCTTTCCAAATCAACTCCGAACTTCCCGAAATTTAATTCTGACCACGCGTACAAGTCATAATACCTGAAGTGAAGCTGCTAATGGCCTCAACTCGCTAAACGACGTGCTAGAGCTCAAAACGACCGGTCGGGTCAATACAAAATCAACGTATTTTAATCTACTATAGCATGTTTATCCCTTTTATTTTTCGGAATAATTCACAAAAATAAGCCAAAATACATTACATTATTTGTAAAATCATGTTGAGTAGATATGTATACCACAGGACTCAGAATACTTTCGTATTTAACAAAAGAGAAAATACTTTTGTGTTTCTATTAACGATATAAATTTAATAATCTCTATTAAATTATAACTATTAAATAGTTAACTCTTATGGCTCAAAACAGCAAATGATGAAATAGGCTTTTACAATTCTGTAAGTTTTTTTTTTCATAGTCTTGATAGACGTTTAGAAGTTGCAACGGGTCTTAATTTATTTCTTTATTACTATACGTTTACATTTAGTACAGTATTGCTTATGTCCGAAGAGTTTAGCGTGAAAATTAATAAAAACGACTGCTACGTTTTGTCAATTATATTAACTAGTCAATTGGGATAAATTTGCAAACCATTCACACATGCACATGCTAGGTAGGGATTATTTTTCTAGTTCACAATACTTGATATCAATTTCCTTAAGTGATTTTGTCTTTGAATATGTAATGACACTATTTACCCTTAAAATCGGATAATAATTAAATTTGTAAGTGATTTTAAGGATATAAGGATTAATTTGACACAAAGCAATAAATTGGATTAGATTAAACAAGTAAAGATAAAAATAAATTTAAACCACACGCATGGGATAGTTTCAGCCTTAGTGAAATATTCACCCTCGATCCAAGCTCACTGTAGTCAACATTGATGAATAAGAAAAGAGCTAATAACAGAGAAAAATGATAATATATTGTCTTGGAATGCTTGATACAATGTGTGTAATGAATCATCAGTCCCTCTTTATATAGTAGGAGAGTCTCACTCTAGGTACAATTCTTATAAAAGGTAAAAATCTTCTAATTAACTGATTGTTGATTCCCTATCGATAAGTGCCAAGATCCACGCCGTGATACCCGTCCGATCACAGATATCACAACTTTCTGTTGGCCGTGCTTGGCTACCTGACAACGTCCTTCGCAGTTATTCAAAGCTAGGACTGGTCCCAAACCATGACCCCGATATTTTTGAGGATGGGCGTTATGCCCCCCGGACTCCGACTTGATGAGAACTTCGCCTCAATTTCGGCCCCTTGCCATCATGTCTCGAGCTTGACTTATCACGTCGGGAACTTGGGTGTATCACGATCCGGTTTCACCTATATACAAATAGTCCCCTGGTTTCTCTGAGAGTACACGACGAGAAACGACATGAGCTCCTATTTCCTACTTCGATACATCGTGACAGAAATGAGAAAACATTCGAAACGTCTCGTCAGTCACGTCACAATGGCATTAAATTCATATAAGCCGCCCATCGGGTATCTCAGAAAGCGAAACATCACCGAGTTCCTATAAATACCACCTCCTTTGTTTATTTTTACTTTACATCAAACCTTCTACCCTCTTATTCCTAGGATATCAATATTCTTTAGCACTTTTACCCCCGTTATTCAAGGTCCTTTGCAAAAAATAGTACTCATCTTCTTCTCAATCCAACAAATCCAATCCTTCAACTTCCTTTCTTTGCTTATCTTTTCCAGATTTTCCTCTATTTTTACTCTCTAAAATAATGACAAAGACTTTCAAAACCGTTTCCCAGAAAGAAGTTCCTTCTACTTCACGGTGTCATGACCCAAATCGATGGGCCACGACGGGTGCTCGAGTCCTACCTGTCGAACATCCTTAAGCATGCATCTAAGATAAGAAGAGAGGATAACATCCTATATGTCCTGTAGACTCATGTCTATAAGTATGGTGCACAACACACCCATAAACAAGACTCTATTAGACACGGTCTGTGGATAACCCTAGGACAGACCTACTCTGATACCACTTTATGGGAATGAATAACATAAACATCTTTAACTGCTAAGAGTAGAAAAACTTATGGAATATCATTACGTTTACGTATCATTACTTGGATCATGCCAAAAGAAAAAAAAATTAGCCTTAACATACCTGAGTCGATTCTCTTGACAATACCTCTAACATACGTTAGACGAAAGACATAATGGCGAGATCGAAATAGGGAACAATCCATAGAAATGCTCAAAACAATAACTTTGCTATTGCAAAATCCTCTTTTTTCAAACTCTTTCTCAAGGGAATTAGCATTAATGTTATGTATGGAATGCTTGCTGAAACTCTTCTTAGGAGATTAGAGTTCACGTTACATAAAATGGAAAGCTTTGGCTGAAACTTTTCCTTAAGTAACTATGAAATGGGAAGCTTGAATGACTTTTAGAAAATGACGTTACTAATGTTATGGAAACTTTTGTTGAAATTCTTTTCATAAGATATTATAGTTGTTATTCTTACCTTTTTAGGTGGCCCCACATAATTAAGCTTGGTATCACAATTCATTCTCAAAGTGTGACACTTTGCAACCGTTAATACTTAGTCATTAAATGGAAAGGGATGATTGCCATGTTAGGGGGAGGGGTTAAATCTTATCCCACTCTTTAATTCGTTTACCCTTTATCCTTCATGACATTTACTTATTGCTTTTTATAATTAGCATAAATACATATAA